TGGGCCTAATAGAAGGGTACGTAAAGGGCCTAATTCCTTATTTATCTCTTTTCCAAATTATAAACCTGGCCCTAAAGAATCGCAAGCCCATGCTAAGTCTTCAACTCATTTATTGAAACCCGAGAGGAGAACGATGAACATCGGTCGCCATGGATCTCGGTGGACTCGGACTGAAAAACAAAAATGGGTTGCATGATCTCACACTTCTTCTCCAGGTTTGTGTTCTGATCTTTCTCCAAACGCTTTCTCTACCTCTACCTCTACTTCTTCTTCTTCGGGTGGAGAGATAAGTAACAGGAATGCTGTGGAGGATGTATCGAATCAACAGAGAAGTATTATTGGGACTTCAAGTTCATGGCGTGATGGGTCAGAGTTGGATGTCTCAAAGGTCACATCTGGGAGTATGGGATTTTTCAATGGAGACAGTTTGCGTTGGGAAAGATCTGCATTTCAAATTGAATAATGACTCAGCTATGGCTTTGCTTAAAGAGCTTCGACTCTTTGCTGCGGTTGAAATTTTGAGCAGTTTATCATCTGAGCATGAGGAGACTTTGCCAACCCCATCCAAATAAGTTGATGCTTCGGAAACAGAGGGGAATTTGCAGTTAGGAGTGGTTGATGTTCCTTCTCGGCAGCACTGTTCTAATAATTCTTTTTCAGGGACAGACTTTGATCATGCTGAAGTGGATTTAATGGAACCTTTGGCAGTTGTGCGGCCTGATTGTTTGGAGACGACCAATGATCTGGGTATGGAATGGGTTATTGAGAATATTGGAGCAATAAGTGAAGCTTTGAGTGTATCTGCAAAAGGTTATGAGGAACAAACCTTGTCTATTCTTCACGAAATTGTTGTAGGAAATGGTAGTACTGAACCAAATCGTGACACAAAAGAAGTCAAAGCCAGAAATTCACATCAGAAAGGCGAACAGGAAGTGAAAAATCTGATTTCTTGTGTTAACTATGACGGGAAGAATGGGACGACCAAAGAAAGGGGAAGAACCAGAAGTGGTAAATGGATAGGAGGAGAATTGATTGTTTTTGGTTCTTAATGAAGCTACGACTTATAACATGGAATGTTTGTGGTCTTAATGATCCGAAAAGAAAAAGAGTAGCTAAGGTAACTTTGAGGAAGTGGAGTGCTCATGTTGTCTGTTTACAGGAAACTAAGATGACTGATATTAGAAATTGTCAGGAGTCTTTGGGGAGGTAGGTTTGTAGACTGGGAAGTGTTAAATGCAACAGGCACTTCAGGTGGTATTCTACTCATGTGGGATCGAAGATGGTTGTCAAGTCTGAATTGTTGGAAGGGTATTTTCTCTGTGTCTTGTATGTTTCAGATGGAGGAAGACAATTTCAGGTGGGTGTTTTCAGGTGTTTATGGGCCTGTTACTGATAGTGATAAACCAGTCCTGTGGGAAGAGCTTTGTTATGTGAAGGATTTATGGTCATTGCCTTGGTGCTTAGGTGGGGATTTTAATTTTATTAGGTCCCCATTTGAGAGGTCCACAGGGGCAGGTAGTCTTCAGAAATGACCATGTTTTCAAAATTTATTGACAGTAATTTCCTTATTGATATTCCATTGGAAGGAGCGACCTTTACTTAGTCTAATGGTAGGGAACCAGTTACTTTTTCCCGGTTGGATAGATTCCTGATTTCTGGGGCGTGGGAAGAGCATTTTCCGGATGTCTCTCAGGCTGTGTTGGTAGTTTGGTGGGATGTATCTACAAATTAATAGCTAAGGTCCTAGCCTTGAGAATGAGGAGTGTTATGGATGGAATCGTCTCAGAATCTCAGAACGCTTTTGTGGGGGGTTGTCATATCCTTGATTCGGTGCTTATTGCTAATGAGCATGCAGGCGCTAGAATGAGGAGCAGGATTCCTGGGGTTTTGTGTAAGCTTGATATTGAGAAATCTTACAATCACGTGGGCAGGTGTTTCTTACTGTGCATGTTGGAGAGGATAAGGTTCGGGGAGACTTGGAGGAAATGGATTGAGTTCTGCATTTCCATGGTGAGGTTCTCAGTCCTCGTGAATGGCTCTTCAACTGGTTTTTCAGGAGCTTGCGTGGTTTGAGATAGGGAGATCCACTCTCCCCTTTTCTGTTCCTTATTGTGATGGAGGCTCTCAGTGGGTTGATGAGGAGGGAAGTGGATCTGGGATTCATTAGAGGTTTCAGGGTGCGTTGAGACCCTCCTAATCAACTGGAGATATCCCATCTCTTGTTTGCGGATGACACTTTAGTGCTTTGTGATGCGGATGACGTTCAGATCAGATACTTGCATTGCGTTCTGGTTTGTTTCCAGGTTGTCTCAGGCCTGAAATTGAATGTTGGGAAAAGCATGCTGGTTCCAGTGGGAGAGGTTACGGACATTTCTATTTCGGCGGATACTTTGGGATGTGGTGTTGGCCACTTCCCCATATCATAGCTGGGACTGCCCTTGGGGACTTCTTCGAGGATTGTTGGTGCTAGGGACCCTATTGTAGAGAGGGTTAAGAGGAGGCTGACGCGTTGGAAGAAACGGCATCTCTCAAAGGGCAGGAAGATTACCTTTTTGAAAAGTACACTTTCGAGCCTTCCTACATATTTTCTCTCCCTCTTTCAAATTCCTTTCTCTATGGCTATAAGGATTAAGAGGCTTCAGCAGTTCAGCGGAACTTTCTTTGGGGTGGATTGGGGGTGGAGTTCAAATACCATCTCGTCCGTTGGGAGCACGTTTGCAGGCCGCTTCAGTTAGGTGGTTTGGGGATCACGAGATTGGAGCCTTTTAATAAGGCTCTATTGGGGAAGTGGCTTTGGAGGCTTGAAGTTGAGAAGGATAGGCTTTGGAGGAAAGTTATCGCTTAGATATTTGGAGAGGAGGGGCGGGTGCCGCTCCCTCGAGGTGAGGATTCCAGGTGGCGTGGGTGTTTGGAAATTCACAAGGAAAGTGTGGGATGAATCCTATAACCACATCAGGTTCAGGGCTCGAGGAGGCTCTTTTATCCAGTTCTGGGAGGACAAATGGTGTGGCGACCGTGAGTTGGCGTGTGTTTTCCCCAGACCCTTCAGGATTGCCATGGATAGGCATGCTTTGGTTGCCGATTGCTATTGCCTTGATGGTGGGAGGACGACTTGGGATGTGCGTTTTGCGAGGCATTTCAAGGATTGGGAGCTGGCTGATGTTTTTGAGTTTTTAGCGTTGTACCGCCAAGAGGTGATTGTGGGTTACACTGATTCCTTGGTTTGGACCCTTTCTTCTCAGGGGAGGTTCAATATTCGCTTCTTCTATGGGAGGCTTTCTAATGAGCCGAGGGCTGCATTCTTTTGCTGGACGGTGTGGCACACCAAGGCCCCCCTTAAGGTGGCATTCTTTTGCTGGACGGTTGTTTTGGGGAAGATTCCAACTCTTGACAATTTGAGGAGGAGACAGGTTGCGGTCAACTGGTGCGGTATGTGCAAGTCGGACGACGAGACAGTGATCATCTTTTGTTACATTGCCCGGTTGCTAGGGACAGTTGGGGTTTGCTCTTGTCTTTTTTGGGGGGAATGTCGCGCACCTCTTTTGGCTTGATTAAGGCTTGGAGTGGATGTATAGTGGGACCCCAAGCCCGTGACTCTTGGAGGGTGGCACCCTTGTGCCTTTGGTGGTGTCTTTGGAGAGAACGTAATAGGAGATATTTCGATGGCGAGGAGACTCCTATTGGGGGTGTTGAAATTCTCTTTCCTCAGTTCTCTTTTTTGTTGGGTTACTGGGAGGAATTGTAATCTTTGGGGGAGAGAGTTGATTTTTTGGACATCCTGAGAGCTTAGGGACCTTTTTAGGCTCTTCTATTTTTTGGGCTGCGTTCCCCTTTTGAAGGCTTCTAATACAATCTTACTTACAAAAAAGAGTTAAATCCTCTATGGGAACTAATGAAGCTGAAAGGGTGGATCAGCCAGTGGCATTTATTGGTTAGATAAACATCGAAAATGGGACTGTTGATCAAAATGGACAGACACGCCGTTAAGAACAAAGCAGAAAGACGAGCCCATTTCTATCAATATCAGAAATTTGAAAACTAGAGCACGCCGCCTGAAACAGCCGCAACGAGAACAGCCAATACTTCAGCTCTTTTTTCACTAATTAATGGAGAGAGATTCGGCTCAGACACGAATTGGTGAGCTATCTTTCTATTAACTGATTCAGGAGCCAGGCCAAAAGGAAAGGGGGAACCAGTATTGGGAGTTCCATTCCCATCTGACAGAAAAGGAAAGCTCTCCTAACTTGATCCTTAGAAAGATGATAGGATCCCACGAACAGTTAGGGGGATTGCACCCATTGTCTACTATTTTGTACTGCCTCTGGTGTAAGCTCTTGAAAGCATTGATCGCATGCTCTCTTTTTAAGCAGCTTTCTACTCTCCAATACTGTTATCCAAGTAAGCAATGGAGCTAGACCAGTGAGCTATAACCTTCAACCATGGAATTGAAAGTTGAGGGCTCAAATGGACTAAATCGACACGGGAGCATTAGGAAAGAAAGTTAGTAGATGTCACTTGGTACAAATATTGGAATTTTTTTTATTCCGATGGTGGGGGTACTTTCGTAGCCCCTTGACAGTTATCCCAAGGCAAGGGGCTAAGGAGGGCCACCGGTGGCGTTGATACTTTCCTTTTGCCTTCACAATTTCTCACCAAAATAAAAGGCAGCAACCAGTGCCTGAAAGTAATAATATTCTCTCACCTTTACAGTTTTACTTAGGCAACCAATTCAAATATCAAACCATTCAGTCCCGTTGGATATGTACTGGTCCATTGCATTTTCATATTTCCTAGGTTTGTGCTAAATACAACCAAGATCAACATCAATGTCCTTGTTCAAACTTAAACAAGAAAATGTTGAAAGTGCAAACCACTGGCATCGTACCACACAAAGATGAAAAGTTTACATAAGAAAGTTTTCATGATTAATAAATAATTAAGCTATGAAGGTATATATATAACAACATTTAAGGAGATGTAAGTAAAGCACAAGAATAAACCTTCTTCTCAGCATCTAACATTTCACGGAAGTTCTTTGCTGAACGCTGTAAACCTCTTAGTGCATGATTTCTGTTCCAAAATGAAGCAAATTTGTATCTGACTCTACCTGAAAGCGGAGAAAAGGAAAATGTAAGCCAAGTACAGGCACTCCAGCTCAATATTAAAATTTAAATGGTTCTGCAGAAATCTAGACAAAATCCAATATTCTTCTACTGATCTCTATTCCAATATATTACTTATTCATGTGATAGAAAAACAAAAGATAAATAGAAGTACATGTAAAACAAAATCAGAAGAAATATAAAAAGAAGAAAAAGGAGAGAAATGTGTAAAGGCTTGAATGAGATAAATCACTCATTCACAGCTCTAGTATTTATAGATAAAAAGAGCACTATGCTCTTATTACAAAAAAGGAAAATAAATCAAATCAAAGCATATTCTATAGCATAATCAAATCTCTACTAATACGGTAAGTCATTCCATAAATCGTGGCTATCATATCTGCTAACAAAATCCAATATAGATTCATTTATTCATAACATTCTAGTATAGCAGTGGCTATGATCATTCAGATATCAATATAGACGTGTAAGTTACAAAAACTTCTCCATATGTAAAATTAAGTACATGTATTTGCCTAATAAGTGGCCAGATACCTTTGCCTAATAACTCGCAAAGGATACCTTGTCGGGGACGGATCAGAGAACAATTCAATTTCCTGAAAGACAATCATCCTACTCCTCATCCACAGTTCTGACTATTCCCTAAATTCCCTGCGAACTTGGGACCTACATACTGTTTGATCCATCATTCAGAAGAAGAAGATAAAAGAAAACAGGAAGGAGAAAAGAAGAGAAAGGAAGAAAAAGCCTGTAAAATTACAATCATTTAAAGAAGTAGAGCAAAAAAGAGAAGTAATGGGGCTCACTTGCACCCCTTCTTTTCCTTTGTGCTTAAATCATTTACTTCTCTAGACCACCCCAAACCTCATTTCTGAGGAATATCAAGAAAAGCTTTTTTTTTTTTTTTTTTTTTCAATCGCTCCATTTCCTTTATTTTTCTCTCATTACTAAGTGAACCAAACTGCATAAAGGATATATTTTTAAAAAACAAATCCCTCCTCTCTTTTCCCTAACCAAAAGGCCTATACTTCTGAAATTAGAAGTCAGAAATTAATGGACTTCCTAGATATCTATAAACCGTCTCCAAGGAGAACATACAGAAGAGACAAAGGGAACCAAAGGACATAACAAGCCACAATTACACAAGAGACGATTCATTTTATCCAACTTAACCAGATTGTGATGTTGTGGCCCGAATTTTGTTTCACACCGGGTTGCATTGCGAACAAAAGGAGAGAAAGAGGGGGGGAAGGGATTGCTCCCAGGATTTATTTTATTTATTATGACCCATTTTTCTCTTGCGGGTCGTGGACCCTATTTATTTAGCATAGTATATAAGGGTGTTTAGGGTTTGGGGGGCTGAAACTTGTAATCTCTTGTTTTTCACATGGTGAAATCCTTCGCTGGATCTTCACCATGGACGAAGGTTTAGATATAAGCCAAACTACGTAAATCTTTGTGCGTGGCGCGTTTTACTTTCTGTAGTGATTCTTGTTTTGTTTTTGGTTCGTTGCGTTTGTCGTAACAAACTTGTATCAGAAATTTTGGTATGAAGTTGGGATGGCGAAAATGTTTCTGGAAATCAAGAAGTTTAACAACAGAAACAATTTCAACTTGTGGCAGGTTAGGATGCAGGCTCTGTTGATTAGGGCTATAAATGAACCGAGCCGAGCTGAGCCGAGCTTTGGCTTGCTCGGGCTCGGCTCATCAACTTCAAAGAGGTGCTCCGGCTCGGCTCGGGCGAGCTTCGCCTAGCCAAGCTCGAGCTCGGGCTCGGCAGAAATTCAACAAGCTTGGGCTCGGCTCGTTTACATATATCGTTACTACCGATTCAAGAAATTAGTATGATTTCTTCCATGAAATCCGATCGTCGTCGACAAGAAAGAAATTTATCGAAGCTCCATCTCCAATTAGAAAGAAAAAGAAAAAATACTTAACATATTTTCAAGATAAAATCAAAGCTTACAATGTTTTATCATCTCTTTACGCAAACTCAACTCGAGCTACACTACACATATGTTGTACTGCTGAACCTTAAGATCTGTTTGGGAGGGAGAGTTCTGTATCGCATTAGGAGGGCTGCTGCAGGCGATATCTTGCGACATAGCTGTCTGAAGAAGGAGTCCTGCCGCCGGAGACATCTAGTTTTAGGTTTATTTTATCTCTTAATAGAACCAACAGTAGAGATGTATTGAAGTCCAATGGCTAAGATTAAATCTGATTTAGATGTTGGGCTGATGAATTATATAATTTTTGGGCCTTATTAATGAATTGATGGGAGTTGGGCGAAACTTATATTGATTTGGGTTACACTTTTTTAGTATAAAATGATAAATACAATTGGGCCTTAACGAGCTTGTTCATGAGCCTAACGAGCCGAGCTCAATGATGTTCAAGCTCGGCTCGTTTACAAACGAGCCTAGAAATTGAGCTCGAGCTCGGCTCGTTTACTAAATGAACGAGCCCGAGCGAAGCTTTTAACGAGCCGAGCTGTTCATGAGCGGCTCGGTTCATTTGTAGCCTTACTGTTGATTCAACATAGGTTATCCAAAGCACTGAAGGGGAAGGATGCACTGCCAAAAAAGATTAAGGACAAAGATGGGTTATGGAGAAAGCACACCCGATTATGTTGTTGCTTGAGTAACAAAGTTTTGCGAGAAGTTTTTGGAGAGAATACACAAGATGGGCTGTGGAACAAGTTGGAGGCTCGGTATATGACAAAATCTCTTGCGAACTGCTTGTATCTAAAGAAGCAGTTCACTCTTCAGATGCACGAAGGTTTATCACTAAGACCATCTTGATGAGATAAACAATATAATCATGCACTAAAATAATATTGATGATAAAATATTGGATGAGGATCATGCTATTATTCTGTTGTGTTCTCTACCACCCTTGTATGAGAACTTTGTCGATATGATGATGTACAGCAGAACTGTGTTGTTTATGGAAAATGTGAAGGCAACTTTGAATTCTAAGGAGTTGTAGATAATGGCGTTAGAGGGCAATATAGAAAGTTCGGGAGAAAGGTTGGTTGTTAGAAGGAGAACAAATTAGAAGGGAAGGTCTGACAACAAAAGTCGTTCCAAGTCTAAGAATAAAATGTAGGTGCTGAAATGCCACGTGTCACAAGAAAGGGCACTTCAGGAAAGATTGTCTTGAACATAAGATAGGAAAGGGGAAATCCTCTAAAGCCAGTGAGGTGGCTATTGTAAAGGGTAATGATTCAGATGGTGATAACATTCTCACAATTTCTATCAAAAGCTTTGGCGATGAATGGATTCTTGTTCGGGTTTCTTGTATCACATTTGTCCAAACAGGGGCATGTTTACCTCCTATTGGTCCATGGATGGAGGCAAAGTTGTAGGTATCGGTACAAATCAAATCAAGAGGTATGACAGCATAGTGAGGACATTGACTGACGTCAGACATGTATCAAAGCTAAAGAAGAATTTGATTTCTCAGGGTACATTAGATTCCTTCGAGTGTAGTTACAAGGCTGCAGGTGAAGTCATTTGGGTTTCTAGGGCTCTTGTGGTGATGAAGGGACTAAAGAAGCATGGTTTATATGGGCTGCAGGGTAGCACGATCACAAATTCAGTTGCAGTATCGTCCATGGATCCAGATACTCTAAATTGTGGCATATGTGGCTTGGGCATATAAGTGAGAGGGATAAATCTTTTGAGTAAGCAGGGTTTGCTTGGAGGTCAGAAAATCGGGGAGCTAGATTTCTATAAGCATCATGTCTTCATGACACAATGCAGAGTGAGTTTAGAACAAGAATCCATTGGACCAAGGGTACATTAGATTATATCCATTCTAATCTTTGGGTGTCTCTCGGGTTGCTACACATGGTAGTGGTAGATACATCATGATACTGATTGATGATTTTCTAGTTTGGGTTTATACTTTAAAGCACAAAAACAAGGCTTTTGTCATGTTCAAGCAGTGAAAAACTTCAGTTGTGAAGCAGACTGGAAAGCAGAACAGACAACGCCTTGGAATTATGTGACAGTAAATTTAATGAGTTTTGCTAGGATCACGGGATTGTGAGACACCGCACAGTGAGAAAAACTCTGCAGTAGAATCGAATTACAAGACGGATGAACAAAACACTATTAGAAAGAGCACGGTGTGTGTCTCTCGGGTTGCTTCACATGGTGGTCGTAGATACATGATACTGATTGATGACTTTCTAGTTTGGGTTTATACTTTAAAGCACAAAAACAAGGCTTTCGTCATGTTCAAGCAGTGAAAGACTTCAGTTGAGAAGTAAACTGGAAAGCTGAATAGACAACGCCTTGGAATTATATGACAGTAAATTTAATATGTTTTGCTAGGATCATGGGATTGTGAGACACCGCACAGTGAGAAAAACTCCGCAGGAGAATCGAATTACAAGACTGATGAACAAAACACTATTAGAAAGAGCACGGTGTGTGTTGTCTAATGTTGGGTTAGGCAAAGTGTTATGGGCTGAAACTGTTAGCACAACATGTTACTTGGTGAACCGGTTTTCACCGACTGCAATCGAATGTAACATTCTTGAGGAGGTAATGAGGTATGGTCTGGTTCTCCTGCTAGTTAGAGAATATTTTGGTGTCCTGCATATGCTCATGTTAGTGAGGGAAATCTTGAACCGAGGGCAAAGAAATACATATTTCTTGGTTATGAGCCCGGGGTCAAGGGATACTGATTGTGGTGCCAGGATGCTGTGGGAAAGAAGTTGTTAGCATGGATGTGCCAGGATGTTTTCACCGACTGCTATCGAATGTAAGATGCTTACACCACAGAATGAGGTAGTTGATTCAGTGAGGTCTCAGGGAGTCGGTGAGTAGGTGGAGCATGCAGAGATTCAGTTGATCGGTCGAATAATGAGCAAGTGTAGTTTCGGACTAAGAAAGAAGATGCATAGTTGAAGTAGTACAGTGTGGCTAGAGATAGGCCGAGGAAGGAGTCTAGGCCAACTTAGAAGTATGGCAGA